ACAGCCCACAAAGGGGTGCACCTAGAGTTCCCAACTCAGGTGATTGGGGAGACTGAGCCACTGGGCCTTATAGGACACCTACTACACAAGGGCTCTCTACCAACTCAAGGAGACATAGCAGCTCTACCCAATACATAGAAACAAACACAGGGAAGCAGCCAAAATGCAGAGACAAAGAAACATCTCACAAATGAAAGAAATGGAAGAAAGCAAACTACTGGATATAGAGTTCAAAACCACAGTTATAAAGTTACTCAAGAACCTTCTAGAAACCTCCAAAAAAATGGAAAGGACCAGTCAGAAATTAATCATACACTAACTGAAATAAAGAATAATATACAGGGATTCAACAGTAGAGTAGAGGATTCTGAAAATCAAATCAATGATTTGAAATATGAGGAAGCAAAAACCACCCAATCAGAAGAGCAAAAAGAAAAAAGAATCCAAAAATATGAAGATAGTGTAAGGAACCTCTGGGACAACTTCAAGTGTACCAACATTCACATTATGGGGGTGCCAGATGAAGAGAGAGAGCAAGATATTGAAAACCTATTTGAAGAAATAATGACAGAAAACTTCCCCTACCTGGTGAAAGAAATAGACTTACAAGCAAACAAGAGGAACCCAAAGAGGACCACACCAAGACACATCATAATTAAAATGCCAAGGGCTAAAGACAAAGAGAGAATCTTAAAAGCAGCAAGAGAAAAGCAGTTAGTTACTTACAAGGGAATGCCCATAGGACTGTCAGCTGATTTCTCAACAGAAACTATGCAAGTCAGAAGATAGTGGCTAGAAATATTGAAAGTAATGAATAGCAAGGACCTACAACCAAGATTACTTTACCCAGCAAAGCTATCATTTAGAATTGAAGGTCAGAGAAAGAGCTTCACAGACAAGAAAAAGCTAAAGGAGTTCATCACCACCAAACCAGTATTATATGAAATGTTGAAGGGCATTCTTTAAGAAGAGGAAGAAGAAGAAAAAGAAAAAGATAAATAAAATATGAACAACAACGTGGCAACAAATACATACCTATCAACAATTTAATCTAAAAGTAAAAATAAATGAATAAGAAATTTAATGAGCAGAATAAACTAGTGAATAAAATAGAATCAGAGGCATGGAAATGGAACAAACTGACGATTTTCAGAGGGAAGGGAGCGGGAAGAGATTAAACAAAGATCATATATGCATATATGCATTACCTAAGGAGACAGACAATAAAGATTTTTTTAAAAAAAGAAAAGATAGTGGAGAAGAGAAAGAACCAGCAAAGAAAACTGAGAATGTGCCACCACCAAAATAGTAGTAAAACCAAGAAAGGAAGGTTCTTTCTAAGCCAAAAAAAAAAGAAAATACATTGAGGAGGAGAGGGGATGAACTAAAGCAAATACTGCCATGTGACACAAAGACTGAAAGCTGATCATTAATTTGAGCAATATGAAGGTCTTTTTGATCTTGATAAGAACAATATTGTTGAAGGCTTGTGTGAAATGTTGATTAGAATGGATTTAAGAGAGAGTGGAAGAAGAGGAATTGAGACAGCCAGTGCAGATGCCTGTTTTTGAGGGGTTTTGCTACAAAGGGAGTCAAAGACATAGGACAATAATCTGTGGTGGTTGTAGTGCCAAGAGAAGTATTTTGAAGATGGAAGACATTTCAGCATGTTTGTACATTGATGGGAATGATCTGATGGAAAGAAAAAGGAAAGAATGGGGAGAGTTTCTGGAATGCTGTTCCCAGAGGTGAGTGAGTCTTATGCACAAGTAGATGGCTTATTTGGAAACACAGATAATCTATAGTAAAAGGTAGAAAGGTCAAGTCTGTGGGTGCAGTGCTGTGGAAATTCTCTTCTGATTGCTTCATTTCTCTCATTAAAATAGGAAAAAAGCCAGAACCGGTTTGGCTCAGTGGATAGAGCGTCGGCCTGCGGACTCAAGGGTCCCGGGTTCGATTCTGGTCAAGGGCATGTACCTTGGTTGCGGCCACATCTCCAGTGGGGGGCGTGCAGGAGGCAGCTGATCGATGTTTCTCTCTCATCGATGTTTCTAACTCTCTATCCCTCTCCCTTCCTCTCTGTAAAAAATCAATAAAATATATTTAAAAAAAAATAAAATAGGAAAAAAGAAAATCTGTTGTAAGCAGGCTGGAGGAGTAGGTGGAAAAGTAGGAGAAATGAGAGAGTGAATGGTCTGGGAGAGAATGCTATGATTTCCTAGTGGCATCAAAGGTCCACTTGAAGTTTCTAGCCACAAATGTAAAGTGTAATCACGCAGCATGGTGTTTGAAATCCAACTCTTTTTTTTAAATAAAAACGTACCAATTTTATATCAGTATCTACTTTCATTTTTAAATTAAAGCTGTTAGATAATTTCTGTAATTTAGAATTAATTACCAGAGATGAGGAAAATATTAATGAGCTATTAAATACTGACAGTAAGTAAAATTATTGGACCATGCATTTATAAAAGCCATGTTTCATAGTAAAAAGTTCCAATTATATTTAACTGAAGGAAATATCCTTTAGCTTTTTATTTCTAACTAGAGGCCCGGTGCATGAAATACGTGCACTCAGGGGGGGTAGTCCCCCAGCATGGCCTGTGCCCTGCCACAGTACGGGAGCCCCATGAGGTAGGCCCTGCCCACCCATCCAGGGCTCCTCAATGGTAGGCTGGAGCCGGGAGTCCCGCCTCCGTGCCACATGGGGCCGGGAGGCGGGACTCCCAGGATCCCCAGGCAGGCCTCCCAGGTAGGCTCTGTGCCATACACGCAGTGTCAAGCCCAGCCCCACCCACGTACACAGTCCCGCTGTGCACGCAGCGGACGACCGGTTTAGCATATTAGGCTTTTATTATATAGGATTACAACACATTCTCATTTTGACATAATTTATCTTTTTCACCCAATTATTATACCAAACAAAAATTTTCCAAATGTTAAGCTTTTCGTTACCACTTATGAAATATGACTTACTCTTTTAGAGTTCCTTAGGAAAAAAATTGAATTTTTAATTTTCATTTTGAACTTATTTGATAAAAAATTATAGGACATCACTACATGAGTTCAAAAAATGGAATAAAAATTAAAAGTGGTATCTATATTATCAGCAAATTATCAGATAAGACATTTTAACTACTTCATATTTCTTCTTAGCATGAGTAAGAATAAACTGGTTCCAAAGTACTATGAGGGTTGGCATTTTTACTGCAAGGTTTAAATCACAGTGTTACTCTATTCAACAAGTCATATCCAAGTAAATGGCAGTGTTCATAAGTACAAAATTGTTAATAGCTGGTACTCTATACAATCGAGAGAATTTTTTATAAAATTAGATTTTTAAAAAGGCAGAATGTCTGATAATTATCAGTCTCTCAAAGGCTAGAATGAGAAAAATGTAGAAAGTGAAGTACTCACTGATTAATAATATTTTGCTTTGAGAAAGCCAGGAATGATTCTAAGACATAAGCAATAATGATAAAAGATGTAATTAATATGCTGTATCTCTTTTTAAGCCAAAGCACACTTTTCACCTCAGGACAGTTCTCATTTTTACATTCTTAGTTTCCTTTGTCCAGAATAGGACCCCTTTTTGAGCCAGTATTTGAATAGAGTTCATAATCCAAAGTTATTTTTTTCTCCACAGGATGTTTTAAGCTGCAAAATGGAAAATGACTAAGTCAGTTACAAAGAATTTTTAGCATAATAAATGCCAATTTACAATAACTGTCAATAGACTTCTATGCAGAAGTCTAAAAGTTGCTACAGTAGCGGTCAGAACTAACATCTTCCATATGCTCATGCTTTGTTTATTAAATACTATCATAAATCCAGAAAAGAAACCCTACAGGGTCCTTCCAAAGCTGCATAATTTCCCAAATGAGTTTCCTCTGGTTGCGGAGCCTGTTCATTCCTTCCGTCCTTTTTCAGTTGTTTAGCTTTTGCAATATTTTCTTGGCATTTTTGTGTTTTCTTTTGCTCCTTTCCCCAGGCCTCAATCATCTTGGCCAATTTCCAGAACAGTACAGCACTTGCTAGAAACAATGGAGTAAGGGCAAAAATAACTGTTGTAAGGAAGCCATATGGATCCTTTGCAGCCCATTCCACAACATACTCAGCCCAAGCCTTTATGTCAAACATCTTTGTAGCAGTGTTAGGAAAAGGCAACTTATGCTTGAGTTGTGATCTCTAACTTTGTCCTGGATTGGTGAGCCAATTACAATTTCAGATGGATGACCCCTGGTTGGTTGTCTTCTTTAGCTCTACTACACACATCTGAGAGAAGGTTTAAATCCTATATACTTGGACTCGGATCCCAATTCCCAACTCCTGAAATCCAACTTTTAAATAACTCTACAGAGAATCAGTGTTCCCAATAACAAAACTAATTTGCTTAACTGGATCTGTCCTCATTTTAAAAATAACTTTTCATACAGAGAAAAATGTACAAACTTATTTATGTACTTGTCTATTTATTTATTTACTTATTTGCTGCCTCTCCTATGAATGGTAATAAATAGGAAATTGCCAAAAGTGAGCCAGAGAAACAGGAAGAATAAGCTTTGTTAATCAATCCTGAAAAATCAAGAGCATCCTCTAGTTCTTTCTTTATAAGTTCCGGATCCATCATTGGTCTTCAGTTACCATTTTGTGCAAAACACTGTCTTCAGCCTTAAGGGGGTGAACATAAGTTCAAGTTTCTTCCCTTATGGGAGAGAAAATGATTTGCCAGGTTTTCTGACATGACTAGAGCCCAACCATGTTTAGGTTCATGCATTTAGTTGTGAACCCAAAGAAAAGCATTGATCTGGACTCATCTTAGGATGTCTGGTTGATGCAAAACTTATCCTGTACTTACAGGAAGGTATAGTTTATGTTGTAGCAGGTCTCGAGAGCTACTCTGTTGTGTTGGTTAGGTGTCCACTGAGCTCTGTCTTGTGCCTTTGGAGGCTGATGCAAAGTCTGACACAATCACTCTTGGCTCCACTCTTGCTTTTCAGGGTTGGGGAGCTGAGTACCATCGCCAGGATGTCACGAGCACACCTTGCTGGATTGAGATTCATCTTCACGGGCCACTGCAGTGGTTGGACAAAGTTCTGACTCAAATGGGCTCTCCACATAACCCGATTTCTTCAGTGTCTTAATAGTTAGGTCTTAATCCCCATTTTTATAGAACAGATGCGGTTGCAGGCAGTGGCTTATATCATTTCAGATTTGCAACTAAAGTGTCTAAGTATATGTGTAAATACATATATACTGTTCATCTATTTTATCACCATTTGTTTTCTGCTTTCTAGTTAAGCTGATGCCATTAGAAAAGCAGGTTTTTTGCGCCTATGATGTAAGAAGCAGCAGCTTTATTTGTGGGAGGAAACAAAGAAAGGCAACTCTGTCAATAGTATTTAAAGGGTGTTGGCAGAATAAAAGGCAGCTTTAGTCAGCCATGTCAATATAAGGCAGGTTGTGTGGCCTACCAGAAAAATACTAAAACTGTTTATATAGCAAAAGTCAGGTACTAGCAGCACTAGAGTAAATAATGCTTTTAGACAAAATGTAGCAATCAAACTCATTTAATTTAAATGATTTCACTTTTAGTACTATTGGCAAGAAAAAATATCAAGTTTATATAATCAATTATGTAAGATAAGACACATAAACTTTATTTCTGAAGTTGAAATACTTATACCTGGACAATTGTGCTCATATTAAGGGTTCATTTTAAACAAATTTAAAATGTGATTGGAAAAAAAACTGTGAAGCTGAAGTCATGTTCCCTCATAATCTACGACTGTAAAAAAGCAATGAGTCTAATATGGCAAGATAAATATGAAAATAGCATGAAATGAGCTATATTCCCAAACTGTAAGACCAGAACTTAGTCCCAGAATCACCCAAGGAGATTCTTGCTTTCCACATAGGAAATGAGGCTCATGATTTGCTGGCTGTTCATGCAGGCAGTCCTGCAGACTTTTGAGTCTGCACAGGGAGCTCTAAGACCACGTGTGTAGGTCCTGTAGGAAGAAGAAGCAGGTAATAACAGGAGGGTTGGACAAAAGCATCATATGTTTACTTACACCTTCTCACATTCCCACATTAAAAGTCTCTGGGCGATGGCCCTCCTTTTGCCTTATTTACCTCACCTGTTGGCAAATATTAACTATTTATAGGTTACTAAAACAATGGTGAAGATTTTTGAGAAAATCAAGACACATTACTGAGATCAATTTATGAGTTATTTTACTTAGTGTCTCTATTGAATAAATTATCTACTGGTCAAATCTGGTAGGCTCTTATAAAGCTAAATTCTCACACCTGGAAATAACTTCCCAAGTAAAGTGATAATAATTTCATAATCTCTACAATTTCTGGGGAACAGTAGTATTGAATAATAGGACATTTAAAAAACACACAATATTAAAAACCTGTTCTTATTTACCCTTGGATAATAAAGAGGAAAATCCCCCAAATTTCTAGGTACTCTTATATATGTAAATATAAGTCCCACCCACTAAACACTGCATTCCTTGAAAAAATATATCACACCCTCTTAAAAATGTATAATTTAAGAAGGCAATTATGCTTGTAACAGATGGTACTTCAGTAATCCAAGAGGTTTCTTCATTTATACATTCTATCTCAACTCTTTGTAGCTTAGTGAACACAGTAGTTATTTCTCATTAAATTATATTCAAGGTAGAAATGATGATGTGAAAAAGATGAGTGAGTTACTACTGTCACCTCTTATGACTAGTGTTATATAATAGAAACTTTCATATATACAATAGAAAATAAATATTACATTTTACATGAAGACTAGGTAACCCATTTAGTGTAGTTCATTGTTCATCAACTATGTATTGTGCACCTGTATGTGCCAGGTACAATGTTAGGTGCTGTAGAATCAAATGTAAACAAGAGACAGCCCAGCCCTTGGGTTGAGAGTCTAATATTATATCTGTTTGTGTACACATCCTCATATTCCAGAACTTGCAAAACAAAACAGAACATACCATCTTCCTTAGCTTAAAAAATGTATTGGTTTCTTAATTATCTCTTTTGAATAATTTCCCTTCTCTTCTGATCATTTAGGTAATGGATGAAGGCTTCCTTGGGTAAATGCTATTTTTCTTCTGTCTAAAAAAGAAGGTTTTCTCCTCCTGTTCCTTTTATTTTCTAATAATTTTCCATCTCCCCTTTTCCCTGGAAAGGGCATTAATATGGCTGGTGAATCTTTCTCATACGAGTATCATTCCATGAGAGAACAGCAAGTACACCACGTGGTTTTTGATCCAGAGATCAAACATAGCTTTCCTTCTTTTTTAAAAAAAATCTTTATTGTTCAGATTATTACAGTTGTTCCTCTTTTTCCACTCATAGCTCCCCTCCACCTGGTTCCCACCTCACCCACTGCCCTTACCCCCGCCCACTGTCCTCATCCATAGGTGTATGATTTTTGTCCAGTCTCTTCCCGCACCCCCAAAACCCCTTTCCCCCCCGC